GGCGAAGCAGTCGTTGCCCTGGCTGAGGCAGTGTCTATAGTGTGGGGCGAGGCCGCCGTTGCCCTGGCTGAGGCTGTGTCTATGGTGCGGGGCGAAGCAGTCGTTGCCCTGGCTGAGGCAGTGTCTATGGTGCGGGGCGAGGCCGCCGTTGCCCTGGCTGAGGCTGTGTCTATGGTGCGGGGCGAAGCAGTCGTTGCCCTGGCTGAGGCTGTGTCTATGGTGCGGGGCGAGGCCGCCGTTGCCCTGGCTGAGGCAGTGTCTATGGTGCGGGGCGAGGCCGCCGTTGCCCTGGCTGAGGCTGTGTCTATGGTGCGGGGCGAGGCCGCCGTTGCCCTGGCTGAGGCTGTGTCTATGGTGCGGGGCGAGGCCGCCGTTGCCTGGCTGAGGCTGTGTCTATGGTGTGGGGCGAAGCAGTCGTTGCCCTGGCTGAGGCAGTGTCTATAGTGTGGGGCGAAGCAGTCGTTGCCCTGGCTGAGGCTGTGTCTATGGTGCGGGGCGAGGCCGCCGTTGCCCTGGCTGAGGCTGTGTCTATGGTGCGGGGCGAGGCCGCCGTTGCCCTGGCTGAGGCTGTGTCTATGGTGCGGGGCGAGGCCGCCGTTGCCCTGGCTGAGGCAGTGTCTATGGTGCGGGGCGAGGCCGCCGTTGCCCTGGCTGAGGCTGTGTCTATGGTGCGGGGCGAAGCAGTCGTTGCCCTGGCTGAGGCAGTGTCTATGGTGTGGGGCGAGGCCGCCGTTGCCCTGGCTGAGGCTGTGTCTATGGTGCGGGGCGAGGCCGCCGTTGCCCTGGCTGAGGCTGTGTCTATGGTGCGGGGCGAGGCCGCCGTTGCCCTGGCTGAGGCTGTGTCTATGGTGCGGGGCGAGGCCGCCGTTGCCCTGGCTGAGGCAGTGTCTATGGTGTGGGGCGAAGCAGTCGTTGCCCTGGCTGAGGCTGTGCCTCCGGCGCGTGGTGAAACTGCCCTATCTAAAGAGGACGCTGCGCCCTCGGTGTGAGGTGAGGTCGGCGTTTCTTCCGCGGACGCTACGGCATTGGTGTGGAGTGAGGTGAGTGATTGCATGACTACAACCAAGCCGACAGAGAGGGTGGAGGCTGGACCTGCGGTCAGTACGGCGCAGACTGGGGATGAAATGGGGAGCTCTGAGTTGGGTGTAGAGTGTGTTGTTGCCTCGGGGGACGGAGAGGTGGAGGAGCAGCAGCGCAGGACGCCTGCTGGTGGTTATGGTTACGACACGAATGACATGGAGTGTGATTCTGACTCTGATAATGTTTCTGTGGCAGACAGTGTCTCTCAAAATGCAGATTTGTATTCTTTGGTGGAAATCGTTGCTTTTCTGGACGACACCTTTGGTAGGAAGGTGAATGTTAGGGAATATTTCCCTGATGTTGAGAAATTCGTTTCGTCAGCTATGACTCTTCAGAAGGTTGTAGGTAAATGGTCTGTATTTATATAGCGCTTTTCTAGTCCCTAAGGACCCCAAAGCGCTTTACACAACCAGTCATCCACCCATTCACGCACACATTGGTGATGGCAGCTACATTGTAGCCACAGCCACCCTGGGGCGCACTGACAGAGGCGAGGCTGCCGAACACTGGCGCCACCGGGCCCTCTGACCACCACCAGTAGGCAACGGGTGAAGTGTCTTGCCCAAGGACACAACGACCGAGACTGTCCGAGCCGGGGCTCGAACCGGCAACCTTCCGATTACAAGGCGAACTTCCAACTCTTGAGCCACGATCGCCTAGATTTCACCAGAAGGCCAAAAGACAAAAACAAAAAACGAATCCAAAACCAAAAGAAACGAAGCACACCAGAACACAGGAAAAAACAGAGTCCAAAACAGAAGAGTTCAGGGGGCCGACCGTGCGGATGGCAACAGCGGCGACGTGGACACAGTTCGGGAGGCCGGCCGTGCGGAAGGCAACGGCGGCCACTCAGGCGACGGTGATCCGGGGGCCGGCCGTGCGGAAGGCAACGGCGGCCACTCAGGCGAAGAGGGTCCGGAGGCCGGCCGCGCGGAAGGCAGCGGCGGCGACGAGGGAGACGACGGAGCAGTTCCGAGGGCCGACCGTGGGACGGCAACAGCGGGACTCAGGCGATGGCGATCCGGACCAGGCGAAGCACAGGCTGAAGCTGGACCAGGCGAAGCACAGGCGGAGGCTGGGCCAGGCGAGGCTGAAGACACGGAGGCTGGGCCAGGCGAGGCTGAAGGCTCTGAGGCTGGGCCAGGCGAGGCTGAAGGCTCTGAGGCGGCCAGGCGAGGCTGAAGACACGGAGGCTGGGCCAGGCGAGGATTGGACTTACTGGATGGTAAAGAGCGTTATCATCTGGAGAAACATGTTACTGGTCTGAGGGAACAGTTGAAGCGTCTGAATCGGTAGAGACACTGGAGTTTTTTACGCTGAAACGTTATGATCATTTCATCTCTGCTGGGTTTTTCTGTTTGCTTTCTTGATGGCTTCCTCTTATGTGCCGGGATTGAGGGTGGCCTCCTTGAATGTGAATGGGTGCAGGGATGCCGATAAAAGAGCCTTATTAGCTGAGGTGATCAAACAGAAGAGATTAGATATAGTCTTTCTCCAAGAAACACATACTGACAGTTTGAATGAGATAGACTGGGATCTGTGGTGGGGAGGGCGGAAGTTTCTTAGCCATGGGACAAGTTTTAGCGCAGGAGTTGCTATTTTGTTTTCTCCTTCTCTAAATGTGAATGTTATTTTCAGCATAGAGATGGTGGCGGGCAGAGTCCTTTTGGTGACGGCTGACATTGGAGGTTTTATTTTTACTTTTGTTAATGTCTATGCACCAACCTCAGGGGCGGAGCGTGGGATTTTGTTTAAAACATTGGAAGAAAAATTAAGTGGTGCTGCTCAAGGGGACTGTGTTGTGTTGGGTGGGGACTGGAACTGTTGTCTTGACTTTACTTTGGATAGGACAGGGGCGGAGCCGCATCTTCAGTCATCTTCTGCTTTAACAGATGTCCTACGGACAATTAACTTGGTTGATGCGTGGCGGGTGAAGCATCCCTCATCCAGGCAGTATACCTGGGTGAAAGTGACTGATGGCAGGGTTAGTGCAGCGAGAGTAGACAGGTTTAATGTGTCTGTTTCATTTACTGCTCGAATTATTAACTGTCAGTCTTTTCCGGTTGTTTTTACAGATGATCACTTAGTTTTACTGGAGCTGTTTCTATCTACCACCAGCAAATCCAAATCTTTTTGGTGGTTTAATATAAAATTATTACATGATCGGATATTCTGTGTATGAAAGGCCCAAATTCGTGTGTTCTGTCAGCAATATAGTTTTCTTTTGACGGCCAATATCATGAGAACTGTGCAGGACCTTGAAAAGGAGATAACACGTGTGGAGACTGTCTCTGGTTCACAGTTAGGTCAGCAGGATAATGCCTGTCTTCATTCTAAAAGGCAAGAGCTTAACCATTTTTTTACATGAGGGCTAAAGGAGCTTTGGTTCGAGCACGTTTCACCAGGCTCCAGGACATGGACGCTCCAACCATGTTTTTCTTTAATTTGGGGAAGTCTGTGGTTCACAGGAAGCAGATGGTGTGTCTTCAGCTTTCGGATGGAAGAGTGACCACGGATCCGGCTGAGATGAGACGGCATGCAGTGGCCTTTTACACGGACTTGTTTAGTGCGGATAGCTGTGATGTGGACTCTGCTTCGGACCTTCTGCATGGGCTTCCTCAGCTGAGCCCAGGTGATCGGGACGTTTTGAACAGGGATATGACCTTGGATGAGCTGTCTGCGGCGGTGTCTCAGAAGGCTTCAGGCAAAGCTCCAGGAATAGATGGTTTACCATCAGATATTTTTAAGCACTTCTGGAGTCTTCTGGGTTGGGACCTGCTGGACGTGTTTAAGGAGTGTTTTGTAGGAGGGATACTTCCAGCTTCCTGCAGGCGTGCAGTTATCTCTCTCATCCCAAAGAAGGGAGATTTTGCCCTTCTTAAAAACTGGATACCAGTGTCCTTTTATGTGCAGACTATAAGATTCTTTCCAAGGTTTTATCGAACAGACTGAAAATGGTCATTGACCTGCTGATTGGTGTGGATCAATCTTACTGTATTCCGGATCAGTCTGTGATTGATAACTTGTTTTTGATGAGAGATGTGTTTGATATTTGTAAAGTGTACAATGCTAATGTTGGCATCGTTTCTCTTGATCAGGAGAAGGCTTTCGACCGTGTGGACCATGATTTTCTTTTTTCCACCTTGAAGACCTCTGGTGTTGGGCAGGGGTTTCTGACTTGGGTGAAGCTGTTGTATAGCGATGCTTGCTGTGTTGTGAAGGTGGGAGGGTTGAGTTGTCCTGTGCCGGTTCGGAGAGGGATTAGACAAGGTTGCCCTATCTCTGGACAGCTTTATAGCATTGTTGTGTTCATCAGTACACAACTGAAACCGGTTTAGAGAGTTTGTTTAGCCGTGGAGGGAAACAACTGAAAATATGAAATAAACACACATGTGAGCTGAGACTCTCATTTCATCATTTGTTGATTCACTCCAAGAGCAAGTAACGTAATAATGGGTCAAGAGATCAGTTTGACATCAATCTTTCGTGATTCACCGTCATATTTACATTATTTGTACAGTACGAATGATTTGCTTTGGTACCTGCTCAAACTTAAGCTCTCCTCTGTCTGCCTGGCTGCGCTTCTCCTACAGCAAACTCGCAGGCAGCAGCTCCTCCCCCCTCGCTCACATGCTGCGCTCAGTCGCCGAGTGCCTGAGCTCGGATCGTACCAAAATTAGGGGGAATTTACGACTGCGCGCTATGTGCTTCAAATATTGTGTGTAGTTTTTGTTTTATACAGTTGTCAGTCAGGCATCTAACTATGAAACAAATGACACTCCAAAAGACCCCGGGCTTCTGCAAAGATGACCCGGGCTTAAGCCAGTAAGCTGCTCCACTGTCAGCACGTCAGTGGATGCACGAGGTGATGGTGCAGGCAGCTGAATGAAACCGTTTGCTGTCATCGTCTCCTTTGGCAGACTTCATCTCTCACTCGTTCTCCGTGACCGAGCTTCGGTTCCTGTTCCAGCACGTTCTTCCAGATCTGAGTGGCCGGACATTGGTGGATGTAGGATCCAGACTGGGGGCCGTGCTGTATGGGGTCAGAGGTCAACACACACACACACACACACACTTGCTGTCGTGTTTTTGTCACTGTAGAGGACATTAGAACGACTGTCCTTCTTCCTAATAAGTGGAGCTGTACAGACTTGCAGGAGGATTTTCCAGGAACACGAGCAGACGCTCAGGCGTTTGGTCTGAATGCACTTTTGTGACAAACTTTTAAAAAAGTAAATCATTCAGTTTAATTTAACAAATGTTGTTGCTTGGAAGTCTTTCTTTTTCACCTGTGTGTGTGTGTGTGTATTCAGGGGTACGTGTACAGCTCAGCGTCCCGGCTGCTCGGCCTGGAGATCAGCGAGGGTTTCGTCAGGCTGCAGGACTCCATGCTGCACAAATACAAGCTGACTGACAGAGTTCAGGTTTGTGTGTTCGGGTTGTGATGGTCGCCTAGAAGACGCTCAGCCACAGATGGTTTCTTCTCTCTACAGGTCCTCCAGGCTGACGTCTGCACGCAGGATGTTCTGCTGCAAAACGCAGATGTTGTTGTCATGAATAACGTCTTTGAGTACTTCATGGAGCCCGAGCAACAGGTCAGGTAAGGTTACACAGATATAAGCCCTGCAGGGCAGTTTTGTTGTGTTTGGTTGTCTGTGTGAAAGTTTGATCTGGGTTTTGGTTGAGAGGACATGCTGACATGCACTCAGGTCTGACTGAACTCGTTGAATCAGGGCAGGCGTCTCTGAAGGCACAGAAAGCTGTATGCACAGAATCATCGGTCGAATCCAGCAAAAAATGTGCTGACTTTGCCCTAAAATAAGGGTTTAGTCCTGTGACGTATGTGCACAGCAGGACAGCGCTGGCATATATCTCCTACTGTGACTGTTCACGTGAAGGCGCAGGCTGGACAGCCTCCATATGGACTATTTCAGACTCGTCCCACTGGTTTGCTCCTGTAATGAAACGAATGATCAGCATTTTGTGTTCAAACATGAAAGTAGTGATCCTTTTCTCACAGCGTCTCTGCAGCCAGTCGTCTCCCCCTGCTGGCCATTAGAAAGAATGCAGGTTTAAGACATTCCTGGCTTCACGTTGTACGAAGAAGTGCCATAATTTAGTTAAAGAGGTTTGTTCAACTCAGTGTTCAGTGTCATGAAGGAGCTTTACACCACAGCCCAGCTCTTACAGTTACAGCAGCACAAACCTGTCACTGCAATTCACTGTATTACAAAAGTAATACAGTGAATTGCACAAGTTACAACAAACATCAGGTGTGCTTGCAGGCTGTTTGTCACCAAGCATACTGATTGACTCAGAGCAATGAATGTAATTGTGATCAGGTGAAACACTACAAGTCCTAAAGTAACCTTTAGTGTTTGAATGGATGCACTTTAACCTCCTGAGCTCTTCCACAGCAGCATTTTGAATTTCTCTTTGATATTTGGGCTGATTGGGACCTGATGAATGTAAAAACAAAGAATGACCAGATTTGTTTTTACCTTATTTTTGTTTTTAAGAAAAATCAGAGCCACATATGAGGATATTTATTTAAAATGTTGATAGAACAGGCGCACTATAATGCCCTCGTAAGTGGACATCAGGCCCTTGTAGAGCAAAATTGAGTATTTTGGTCTAAATAACCCAAAATGTGACGTCCACATATGTGGACACAGGTCCCAGGAGGTTAAAGAGCCTCTGCAGCCCGCACATTAGAAATGAACAGGATCAGTGCATTAGCTGGAGTTTTTCTTTCACCTCTCAGTTGAGTGATTTTTGCTGCATTGCTCTGTCATCCTGTTTCTATTCTTTATACATCTGTATCATCTGTTTCTATAGTAACGTCTGATCGGAGCAATCAGTACTCAGTTATTTATGTTTGTGTAGAGCAGGGTTGGCAACCTTTCAGATGACGAGTGCATCTAACATTTCCTCAGAGGTCAGTGTGCCATATGACTGCATTAGCAATAAATTTAATAATGCTCTATATTAAAAGTTACCCACTATATAGAACCACTTTTATAGGATTATATTTGTTCGCAGATGTTGGCAGCTGTCAGCGAATAGTTTTCAGCTATTTGGAAACAAAAGACTTTTTATCCATAACAGCAAATGAACTGTACAAGAGATAATGCAAATGCTATTTATGGTCTCCTCACAACAATGAAAAATACTGTCAATAAGGCCTCTGCAATGTTCTGAAGACAGTTAAACTGTCAGGTAGTGACGTCCAGCAGGTGAACATGCAGCTCCATGAACTCACACAGCTGTGGATTCCAGCTGCTTCGTAGTTCTGCAAACTTTGACCCCACAGAGTCGAGCTTTTCAGTTCAATCAGCTGCATTTCGATGTCCTCTGTGTCCAGCAGGTTAATGTGAGACAAATCCAGCTGCTCATTAAAGATTTCTGGTTTGATCAGAAAAGAAAACACTGGTCCAAACACCTGAAAGTCCTGAAACAGCATTGTGAATTCTGTCTCCAGTCTATGTATGTATCTGTGTATTTCCGCTGAGCCGACAGCTGCTGAAGCTTTTGAAGTGTCAGAATGTGGAAAGCTAACAACGTCCCTTTCACTGGTAGGCTAAGTTACTTTTAGCCAGTTACAAGCTGAATCTGGTAGTTGGGTTGTTAGCTAAGATACCGTCATTAAGAAGCAGCACAACCAATGTTTCTATGCGAGCTGATTTGCGATGTGCACCGCTGGTCATTTATTTTTGAATGCACCTTCTCAGATTAACTCACTGCGTGTCGTGCCCAGGGCTGGACTGGGACAAAAAGAACGGCCTTTTGACTGGAGACTGGCCCCCCAGGTATTAAAGCCATAAAGCCTTTGAATGAAAACAACCCTGTTGTGACAGTGATGTACACTGTCTTAGATTAGATTAGATGAAACTTTATTAATCCCTTGGGTGGATTCCTCTGGGAAATTCTGTAAATAAATAAATTTAAAAAGCTTGTTGGTATATGTATGATTTCTATACATGTTACATCAGATAAAAACTTTGGTTGCAAGACTCAGATAATTATTTATTAAAATCATTTTAAATGAGAATAAGAAAGTCTTTCTTTGTGCCCCCTTTCCCTGTTAATGCCCTACCTGCCCCCCTGGCAACACTTTGCTAGACCCGCCCCTGCACAGTTACCAGCTGTCAGCTACTTAGAAAAGGATCCTGGTGTTATTTGTCTCTCAGAAACAGTTCATAACTTCAACTCATCCATGTCACCTAAAAGGTAAACCTGTTTCTCCATCACTGTTCAGCTCTGATGATTCAGTAAGGACATCTCCTGGTTTCATCTTCATGTTTCCCTCTCACCACATATCCAAACAGACATCATGACCAGCAGGTTTACAGCTGTGGCTCCAGCAAACATCAGATGATATTAGAAATTAATATTAAATTAATTCTAACAGCAGCTGATCAAGCTTAAACGTGCTGCTGTTGTTTAGCGCGACATCCGCTGGTTTCCTCTTTCTGGCGCAAAGTGGGCGATAAATAAACAAGAGAGAAAAGCGATCAGCTGATCATTGATCAGTTTCATGATTGAAGTAGCAACAGGAGAGGGAGGGGGGAGAATGAGAGAAGAAGAGGCAGCTGTGCAGCAAAGACACAGAATAACTCCAGCTTTGTGTCTTTTTCATTGTAGCTGAAGTCCGGGACAAACTGTTCCTTTTCACCTCAATAAGAAACTCGTAATATTTTCTCTGAATACGAGATGATTCTGTTTTTACAGGACGGTTGGCAACTCTAATAACTAACCTTATGAACAAAATAAAGTTCAACATCAGTAACATAGCACCCACCCAGCTGTATAGAAACTCCATCATGCTAGCTAGTAGCAGTATGAAAAAGTCAGCATAATGAAAATAAACTCCACCTAAACTTTGTATCTGACACAGATGGACTGCAGGTCATAACTTCTTACCTGAAGTTCAGTTCACCTGACACTCGGACCGGCGGCCACCTCGGGGCTCTCCTCCTCCGGGAGCTCCGCCGTAGCCACCACCAAACAACTGAGTTATTTTTACACATTGGCCAGCATCTGGCCAATCCACCACCTCTCATTGTTTATACCGTTACACACACAAAAAAAAAATCATCGGCCTATAAAAATGAAAAACTCACACTTAGGACCGATGCCCGGTGGGTCGATGGCCAGTCCAGCCATGGTCATGCAGTCAGTTAACCTTTCGCGTGCCAGCTGTGGCACACATGCCCAGGGTTGCCGACCGGGAGCTATAACTATCTTTTATAGACAGGGTTCGTAAGGGTGCTTGAAATCCTTGAAAATGCTTGAATTTTAATATTGTCTTTTCACGGTTTGAAAAGTGCTTGAATTTCAGAGGAAGTGCTTGAAAGTGTGTTTCCTTCACCACAAATAACTATCTGATTGAATAGTTTTCTTATCAGAGAGAAATAAAATGAGTCGCAAAATTTAAAAGCAAGATTTCTCCTCCTGGGCTGCCTGATTATTATTTTGCTGTCAAACTCGCTGGAGAAATGATTGCAATGCACAGAGTGTGATGCAGTACGGCAGCGCTATATCGCAGTAGTTATGGCATGGAATATGAACTTAGCTAACATTACTTAGCAGTAGCAGTCATATGAGTTACTTTAGTCAAGTGAAAGCGTTAAATATTAGCCCGTTACATAACTAGCTAACTTAAGGCTTTCTGATGAACCCTCTGACCCAGAGAAGTCTCAGTTTCAACCTGGGTCGAAAGTGCGGACTTCAAATTATATAGAGATTGAAAATATGACATCATTTCTGGGGTAAAACCGCAAAGGATTCTGGGAACTCGTGGCAAGTGGTACTAGCGCACGCAGGCTTTCACAAGAAAACAGTCACACAGCAATAAAAAGAAACCCAAAAAATGGCAAGAAGCTGTTGTATTAACTGCATGACAGCCACGGGAAGCCGACGGGTAAAGAGATCGTTGTTATCGGATTACGTCGTTGAAGAGAAATTGTTCGAGCCATGTTTCCGAAGTAACAAAGAGCCACGGATGGCCTGGATTAATAAATAAAGACAATGAATTGAATGAATTACGAAACACTCTTTTTATTTCTATTAGATCTGAAAATGTTGTGTAACACTACAACCTGAAACGACACATAGATGCGTCGGCCTGTAACAACAGCTGTGAGATGGAGTCGTCCAAATCACCAAAGTAAACTGGAGCTGGGCTTGTTGCAGGATCTGAAGTTACTAAACGTGTTGTGAGTGTGTGCACTCTCACTTAGGACCATAAAATAATAAATATGTGCGTGATGACAGTTTGGCAGCACGCTAACGTCCTTACTCCACTCTGTATGCTCGTGTGGGTCTGTCTCGTGCTTTTTTTGCCTCTTCGTCACGTCTGTCTTCGTGCAGACCTGCCGAGTTCTCCGTCGTTTTGTACATGACTGTTTTTGGGGCAAATAAAATGCAAGTAGGGATTAAAACCGCAGAGTTAATGATTACAGGTGCTGGAAATGCTGGCGCTTGATGTTTAGATTTTGGTGCCACTCGTGCCCACATCTCTATACGCTGTTTATTTTTTCTGAATAAAACAGTGGTGTTTAAGAAACCGTAAAAACTGTGAGAATCAAAAAACGATACGGCAACATGTGGCATCTGGTTGTTTAGGAAGAGGGGGAAGTTTTAGGAGTGACGCCAGCGAGAGAGAGCGAGTTTTGATAGGTGAGAGATTTGTGACGTTTACTGTGTTTGGAGTCTCAAGTTAGTGTGTTGTCTTGTGCAGTCAGTGTGTAGTCGTTGTTTTGTTTTGTGTGTCAGTGAACGTCACAGCTGCAAAAAAGCCACCAAAGGCAGACTGCAGTGTAAACGCTGACACAGCTGCTGTCAGACCTGCAGGTTTATCCCTGTGCTGTTCTCATCTGTGTCAGAGTGACACAAACTATTTTTTGCAGTTGCATAAATAATTTGTGTGTCTTCTTCTTTGATGCAGAACAGCTGATTGTTCTGTAAATAGATTTAAATGGTTATATAAAAAACGTCTGAGCCTTGGCTGCATTTTTAGGTAAATAGAACCAAATAACTTTGTTGTTTGCAAAACTTGTGCATATTTTTTAACAATGTACAATTTCTATTTGCATTTCAAGTTATGACAATGATTCGTTAAACATGGTTTTTACAGTCAAAATGATCACTTTCTACTCGTATTTTATATTTTGTCTGAATTTAGATCAATGGTGCTGATACAGTTTGTCAAAATGAGAAAATAACAGATTGGCAAGTTAAACAGTTTCAAAGGTGAAATATAGAGAACAAATCCAGTAGTCAGAAACAGCCAGTTACACCCTGGACCCCAGAGGGTTAGAGGCTAAAAGCAAAGGTGTCACCAAGTACTGTTTATATTTGTGTGTACAGCTGCAGCTTCTTTGAGTATTGACTTGGTGCCTTTGGGTGAAATAATGGTAATATGATAATATGACTGATCCATATGGTCACAGAGAATAGTCACTTGTTTCTGTGCTACCAAAGTTTCATTCAAACTGTGTTTCTGGTCAGCACCGACACATCAAACTACTTACACATTATAAATGTCTTCAAGCTCACACTGAGGCCTGTGGGGCACAATCAGCCGCTCAGACAGTACACACATTTATGTGTGTTTGTACATGAATATTTCATACTTTAAGGCTGCCTATTTATTTATTTATTTATTTTTTGTGTGTCCCGTTTGGATCTTTAGCATCAGAAATGTTGTCTTAAGGCCAAGAAAGATGCCAAGCAGATTTATTTTACCAAGTGGATCATCATGGCCTTGCCATATTGGTCCATTTGATTGACCTTGATTATAATTATGAATTTATTTTATTTTGCTACAAACGGGACAGACATGACTGGGGGATAGGACAGGGAGAAAGAATGAAAGAAAGAGAGGGAGAGAAAGAAAACCAGAGGGGAGAAGAGACGGTGAGAAGGGGGGGAAGAGAGAAAGAAAAACATGTATGGAGAAAAAAAACAGAAGAGAAAGCAAACAACAAAGAGCAACATAATAAAAAAAACAGCACCATCACAATAAACTAGCTAGCAGTAGATATCAGTAGATACTAAATAATAAACGATATTGTGCAGCACGCAAGATAGACAGCGCACAATGTGCTTTGAGGCAGCAGCCAAGAAAGCTGTAGTCCGCGTCTGTGAATACCCGTGTGTGCATACCTGTGTGGATCAGCATGCTTGCATTCCAAAGGTTCCTTCTTGTAATAATCTGCTAGAGGGTGTGGGGGAGCCACAGCCCCGTCCTCCAGGGCGTGAAGCAGGTATGGAGGAGATCAAAACTCCAGACATCCAGAGGCCCCCAGAACACAAGAAACCATGGAAGACCAACAGAGGGGCAGCTGCGCCACTGTTCCAGAAAGAGCTGAGGAGAGTCCCAGATGAGGGCTCACTCAGCAGCCGCGGAGCAGAAGCCAGGGGGAGTTGCAGTGACGCGCCCGTGAGCTCCGCCGGCAGCCAGCCGTGCCTGAGTGACCGAGCCCCAGGCCGAGAGGCCGGGGGCACCCCACCTCTGAAGTGGCCCGAGCGAGCCCCAGGCTCCAGGCCCCGATAAGCGGCCGCCAAGGAGTGAGCCGGTGTGTACCCGGACGCCCACCCCCAGACACAAAGAACCACCAACGCACCGATGTCTGAGGGCGTCGCCACCGGCAGGGGAAGTGGTGGTGGGGGAGATAGGCCTCCAAACCTTGGAGGGCCTGAGATGTCCCCAGAGAGGTGGCGCCTGACACCCAACCTGACATATAGACACAGACATACAGGCACACACAGACACAAACATCCATTCCCACCCTCATGCTCTCATATGCACTTACTCCACACTCAACCAACGTGGAGACAGACATAAAGAGACGCTGTACACACGATCACACTCCCCAAGCGTACTCTACAAACCGGGTCTAGGTACCCTTGCCCCTGGAGGGGGGAACTGCACCCAGACCCAGGTGGTGTTACCCTTTTCCCTGCGGTGGGGAGAGGCAGACCGCCCCGACTCCGCAGTAGCAGGGAGGCCCCACACTCCAGACCGCAGTCGGACGGCCAACTCCTCCTGCTAGCCCCCCCGCTCCAGCAGGCCGCAGAGAACGGGGGTGAGAGAAGACTCCAAACCTCCCTCCACCCGCTCATTGTAGTGTTGATGCATGTGTGTTCTAAGGTGCAATTAAAACCCAGGAAGGCTGCCTATTTATTTAAGACAGATGAACAAAATACATTGGACTTGTACATAATAATATCACAGATGATAAATAAATAGATTTTAAATAGATGCTTGTGCATTCTTCAAGTCTTCTATGTTGAATTGAACTACATATGTGATGTGTTCAAAGCCTCCCAGTCAGTGCTGTTCTCCAGGCCTGTCTGACATGATGTTATTAGCACTTTAAAGGTGATCATGTAGGACTTCAGCAATAATGTAGTGTCGTTAAACATCTCACAGTTAGTTTTATTGGGAATTAACTTAAACACAAACAAACATCTGTCTCCTATTTTTGTGTCGTACAGGAAAGAAGCATCAGTATCTGATGAGAAGACTTTGTTTTTCAACAGGAGAAGTTGATTTGTTCACATTTTCACATCTTAATTTTTGAGTGAAATGTGCATTTTGAGTTTATGCACTGTATGCATAGAATGCGACCGTTTCCTTTTGCAGTATTTTTGTGTGGTCTTAATAAAAGGGGAACAAAGGTGTTGAAGTTCACCTAGGATGATTTGTTTTAAGGGACCTTGAAAGTGTTTAAAAAGTGCTTGAATTTGACCCTGAAAAAGGCGTATGAACCCTGATAGAAATACATGTACAAAATGTGCAAGGATGCGTACATAAACACACAGAAATGTACATAACTACACTACAATGCACACAGAAATACACTCAAAGTATATACAAGATAAAGCAGCAACAGAAACAGTGATACAGTGATGGTAATAGGAAAGTACAGTTTCATCAGCACATAATAAGAAGCCTCAGCTCATTAGCAGGTCTTATAATGAACAGAATACAACCTAACTTTCTGCTTCCAGAGGAACCAAGAGTGCGAAAGCAGCTCGGTGCTGCTAGTGAACGCACCGTATCAGGTGATGAGCAGGTGTGAGCGCCTCTATACAAGCGGGTCGGGCAGTTTGCATGACTGTGACTTTCAGGTGTGTGTTAACTCGCTGCCAAGGATGAAAGCTGTCAGCAGTAGAGAAACAATAGTTAACCCTTCCCAGACTAACAGGGAGTATCTGAGGATTATCTCAGACACCAGAGGACTCCATTAAGCATGCTGAAAAGTTCATGTGCAGGTGGAAAAAGACTGAATGTGCAGGGTAGGCAAGCGTGTTTCCTTTAAGAAAACATGGTGACATGGCTTAGGTTTGCAAACTTCATTTGAACAATGTGCTCTGGACAGGTGAGACCAAAGTGGAGATGTGTGTCTGTAATCCACAGCAGTACAATTAGTTAAACACAGCACACTGGCACGAACACGTGATGATTTGGGTTCGTCGTGCAGCCAGAGCAGACCTGGGACCTCTGTTCTAGAGTCGGATGTGAGCTCCCTGGTCTGACAGTCCAGCTTGTTCTCAATCTACTGAGAATTCATGAAAAGAATCCATGTGCCAGTCAAAGGTGACTGAAAACTCAGGTGGGACCTTAAGACACTTCAACTACATGGAGACCTGCCAAAGACCGTATGTGTTTCATTATGTCCTGATGTAGAAAACCTTGGTTTTGGCTTCCCTTCTGTACGCTCTGTCAGATGCACACAGCTATGATGACTTTCTGTTTTCAGGGCATGGAAGTTCATCGTGCAGAATTTCCGGAAGAAGGGATCTCTGCTGGTCACTGTTCCCAGCCTGCACGAGAGTCTGAATCCCCTGCAGGTGATGCTCGGCGGATGTTAGCAGTTCTTACATGTGGACAGTAAAAAGTGTTTCTCATGTTGTGACAGATGAAGTTTGTTCCTCTCATGGATAAAGTGACTGCTAACATCATGAGCCAAGCCGTTCTTGGTCTGTTCTTCAATGTGTTTGTGTCTGTGTCAAACAGGAGGTGTTGCAGCCTGACTGGGTGGAGGAGCTTCCTATCAACTACGACGTCTACCTGGGCAGAGACACAGACCCCGACGCTCTCAGACAGATCCACCTGTACAGGGTCATCTGATCTGGACTGGACCCGTTTGTCCCTGATCTCAGTTGAAATCGTCTTGGCTAATTGATACTCTGAACTGGTCAGAAGTGAGCTCGTTAAATCCAAACCCAGTTAATGAAACCCATGATCTGGTTTAAACTGGTTAGGAGGGGTTGAAATTATCTGGGTTGGTTAGAGCTGGACTCTTCCTTCCCTGGTCTGCATATCAAAGAAACTCAGGCTTTGTCTCGTTAATTGAGTTGCACTTGCAAAATACTGTTAATATTAATGTTAATATTATATGTCAGTTAATTCAGCGTTGACTAAACGTGTCCTTTACTATAAAGGCAACAAGTAACCAATCACAAACATGGACAGATGAGCGTGGCAACATGATGAAAGTGTCAAAATGAGGCTTTCTCTAGTAAATCCTCATATTGAGTCACAATGAGACTACCTGACTATCCCAGCAGAAAACTCAATAAATACAACTTTCCACACACCAAGGCCGACACGATGCTTCAGAAAAACTGTCTGACTGGTCGTAAGGTGGGGCATCGTGTAATGTTAGTGTATCCTGCTCAGGTCAGAGATACAGAATAATCAGTGTGAACATACCACGAGTAACATGATCACAAAGGTGCACCGTCTGGTCATGTGTAATGTTTTCTTGGATGTGCCTGTTCACACCAATCTTTAAATGAGAAGGTTTGTCATTTCTAAATGTGGCATTCAAAGGAGGAGGCCAAACATCCCTGCAGAGGTTGGAGTCTTTCAGAAACAACAATGTATGGAAAGTGCGACCATCAGAAAACTGATGGTGCAAGTGGTGGGTTGAAGTCAGAATGTAGAAATGCACTGCAAGGAGTCAAACTCCAGTGTCCTGACACTTCTTCATGTGTCCCTGCTGCAACACACGTTCCTCTGGCATTTCTTTATATACAAATGATATCGAATTTAAAAAACCTTCAGATATTAAATAAAGCAGGTGTGGCGCATGCCCCTATTTTAAGTCTCTAGATTGGGGGTGATGGCTAGTGATGTGCGATACCACTGACTTCCTTTCCGATCTGATACCAGGTAAAATTCAGGGTCGGCGATACTGATCCGATACTTTTTACAGAAACTTATTTTATTTATTGTATCTCAAATTAAAGCGTCACAATGATTACAGGACATCAGATTACTGTACTTGATCTTATCACTTAATAATGCAGGGTTCATCATATAGAAATAAAATAAGTTGTGCACTATTTGAACACGTTGCCTGTCTGCACTAAAGGACTCTGTGAGAGACGTCTGTCTCGCCCTGGCAGCACCTGTCCCTCTCCTCCTCTTCAGTTCGTCTCAACATAAGCTCGTCATATTCTGTGATATGATTTACTCTGAGGTGTTTGACCAGGTTAGTGGTGTTGCCACAACACCTCACTGTCTTGCCACATGTATCGCAAACCACGTGTTGGCTGTTTGTGGATGTAAAATGCATCCACACATGACTGTTTACACTCAGCCATTGTTGTGAGTGCGCACGCCAGAGGCTGCCACACAGTTATACAGCCGTGTTTCACACATGACTATGAAAGGTGGAGGAAGTAGACAATCCGAATGTTATAGTTTCTTTCCACTGTGTTCCTGTTAATGATAAACTACAAATTTACCCTAAATTACTAACATATCGATATTTTAATGTGAGAATCTATTCTAGAACATAAATGGCTGGTATCAGAGGAATCGATATTTCAGGATCGATCCGCACATCACTACTGATGGCACGGCCATAGCTGGACTGGCCATCCCGGTGGGTCGATGGTGATTTTTCGTTTTTATGGGCCGAGAATTTTTTTTTCTTTCTCTTTTTTTTTTTTCTGTCCCGTTTGGCTGTTTTGCATCAGAATTATTGTCTAAAGGTGAAGAAAGATGCCCAACGGATTTACTTTACCAAATGGACCATCCCAGCCTTTCCGTAATGGTCTATTTGATGCACCTTTTATTGTTTATTTTATTTTATTTTCACTTGCTAGATACGGGACAGACTTGAATGAGGAAAAGAAAGGGGAGAAGGAAAGAGGGAAAGAAAAACAGCGGAGAAGAGGGACGGGGATAAAGAGCAAAAAACAACAAAATAAGCAGACAAAAATACATCTATCAATCACCTGGATCACCTGTTGAGAAAGAAAAAAGAAAACAAGCATTTAACAAGGGATAACTCAGCAGCCGTGGAGCAGAAGTCAGGGGGAGTTGCAGTGACGTGCCCGTGAGCTCCGCCGGCAGCCAGCTGTGCCTGAGTGACCGAGCCCCAGGCCGAGAGGCCGGGGGCACCCCACCTCCGAAGTGGCCCGAGCGAGCCCCAGGCTCCAGGCCCCGATAAGCGGCCGCCAAGGAGTGAGCCGGTGTGTACCTGGACGCCCACCCCCACACACAAAGAACCACCAACGCACCGATGTCTGAGGGAGTCCGCCACTGGCAGGGGAAGTGGTGGTAGGGGGAGATAGGCCTCCAAACCTTGGAGGGCCTGAGATGTCCCCAGAGAGGTGGTGCCTGACACCCAACCTGACATATAGACACAGACATCCATTCCCACCCTCATGCTCTCATATGCACTTACTCAACACTCACCCAACGTTTTCTTCTTTTTTGTAACGGTATAAACAGTCAAAGGTGGTGGATTGGCCAGATGCTGGCAGATGTGTAAAAATAACTCAGTTGTTTGGTGGAGGCTATGCCGGAGCTTCCACAGTGGATGAGGGAAGGGGAGGCAGAAGGAGGAGAGACCCGAGGCGGCCGCCGTTGTTCTGGGAATCCATCCTACCTGGAAAAACATCCTACAAAATGTTTCTGCGCAGACGCGGCGCATGCACACAAAACCAACGCTGAATTAACTTCTTTTTCTCTCACCCATCCGGAATACTTCTTAAGGTTATGGTTAGGGGAAGGGTTAGGTTTAGTCGCAACTCACCCTCAAATTATATGTAACCCAGGTCCCACGTAGCTATGGTAAAGCTAGAGTATATAGTACAATGAGACTGGGCCTGGGTTCGTAGTGCTACTAATAATGATACCTGATACCCTCTAATTTAACTAATAAGGACCACCACAACTGTATTTTACACAAATTTATCCCTCACTGGGTATTTATTTAGACAAAAAAGAAATGAATAAACAGTTACTTTTATAAAATGAATTTGATTGAAATAAACAAAAATGCTGTAAATGTGACTACATGAATTATAAATAAAAGATTATCAACACAAAATACCTCTTTCTTAGGTGCCAACTGTTATTTCAGTTACGACAGCTCACACCTTTAAAATGGATGAATTTAAACCTTTGATTATAACTTTGATTAAAACTACACACTCAAATTAAACTAAATTTGTAACAGTGGGCCCCCACACACAAACACACACACACTTTAACCTGTCCACACTACACCTGTAGCACGGTGCTTGTTGCAGGCCTGATTCGAAGTTCGGGTGCGGTGAGGCCTAAAACTGATGGCCGCTTCACTCAAACTGAGCCATAAACAAAATACGTGCACTTTAGTTCCAGTTATTACTCACGAGTCCAATGAGTTTGTTAGTGGGGCAATCAGAAACGGGCAGTTAACAGTTAGTTCACCAGTAGTGAAGACATTCAGGGGTAAGAAAACAGTCAGGGGTGAGAAAACAGCAGGGTCCATCCGGGCAGAAACCTCTCTCTCCTTTCAGAGCGTCCCTCGGCTTCTAAACATATTAAAACACTTGAGCTACAATACCAAATGCTATCACATAACGATTTAGCATTAGCATGCTTTGACTGAAAATCACAGAGCTAAACATACAGCATGGCATCACAGCACATAACGCGGTAAGCTGCGCTAATTAGCAAGCCGCTAGTTAGCATCACATATCACGCTATTTTATCACTATAACGAATAGTTACTGTAGCACTCTCGTGTGATGCGACGAGCTAATAATCACTCTCGATGTTAGTCCGCTGTAAAACTTTTAATGCGTACTCCAGCACATGACAAAACACACAGACCGCACCGGAAGAACAAAACTCCCCCCACCATACTATTCCGGTTGGACTAGTCCCCCACAGTTATGGCAGGTCCGCACAAACAAATATTGCTTGGTGATCATTTAACCAATGATCTACATCCTCCCCATTTAGCTGGTAGCACCTAACAAAACTAATTCACTCACAAGTCTCTAAACAGTGCTTCTTAACACAACTTTAACTTACCGGTAACAATTTTTTTTGCTCGGAGTAACCCCACACCTTAACATAACAGCAATTATGAAAAATGCAAATAGCAAGCATCATATTTCAACATACTGACAACAAACTGATTACACCTAAGGCATCCTAGTGTTTTCCATTTACGTGTATCTTGGGTTGGGTCTGCAGATGCGACCTGCATGTGTAGTGTATGGTGTCTGGTTCACAATGTTCTGGCCGGGCACCTGCACAGCAGGTTGGGGCTGAGGAGAGGATGTGTTTTGTCAATCCTCGTTTGAGCGTGTGTGTGATTGCGGTGTGAGTGTGGAACTGTCCATTGTAGAATGGTTAGTGTCCTGGCACTCAGGGTCATAGTCATGGAGTGGTGGCAGAGGCGGTTCTGCCACTGGGAGGATGTGGCGGCGATTCCTCCTGTAGGATCTTCCATCGACCTGAATGATGTAGGATCGTGGCTCCTTGCTCTTCCTTTCCACAATTCCCAGCTTGTCGTAGCCTTTCTCTGTCTGCACGCGGACCACTTGTCCTTCTTGCAACGGCTGTAGCGTGCGACTGGACTTATCATAGTGACGCTTCAGTCCGAGTCTTTTGTCGCGAAGTCGGTCACGGATCTGTCCTGTGTCTTTTGCAATGGGTGCCAACAGCTTGCTGCACACAGGAATGCCCGCGCGTGTCTGACGAGACATGAGGCGTTCAGCAGGGGAGCCTAGTTATGTGTCACGGGGAATGTTTCTAAGGTTTAGGAGGTCAAGAAACACATCGGTTCCATCTCGGTGAGATTTTTCCATGAGCTGTTTTGCACTGTGCACCGCTCTCTCAGCAAGACCGTTTGACTGTGGAAACTCTGGGCTGCTGGTTGAATGGGTGAAGTCCCACTGTTTTGCGAAATCAACAAACTGTTGACTAGTGTATTGCCTGCCATTGTCAGTGAGGAGCGTGTGCGGTGTGCCATGAACTGAAAAGTGTCTCTTTAGCTTGGAGATGACCGCTGCTGTGGTCAAGTCACGGAGAAGGTCAATCTCAATCCATCCTGAATAGGAATCTACAAGGACCTGGTATTGTTTTCCATGCCAGGTAAAAATGTCAGCAGCCACCGTTGACCATGGGAGGTCTGGAACAGGGTGCAGTTGTAGCGGTTCTCTCTGCTGATGTGTCTTAGTGCTGTTACACACAGTGCAAGAGAGCAGCTCTTCTGCGATGTCTTTTGACATTGCTGGCCAAAAAATGACACTCCTAGCTCTGCGCTTGGTTGCTTCGGTACCTGGATGGCCTTTGTGTACGATGT